TCTGGGAGGAGGCTTCATGGTATCCGAAGCAGAACATCCAGATTCAGCCAGAGTTTCATTCCATACAGCATTAACCTTGCGAACTCTCAAGCTTCCTCCTTCCATTATATATTCAAGATGGACAATATTTAATATTTATTTGCTATGTATATGTAGGGATGTGGGTCTATATATATATGTTGTTCATAGTATGTTTAGGTGTGTGTCATGTATGCGTTTCACTTTGAGAGCGGGCAACTAAATTTCATTTTTGATGTGTGCCATTGTGCCCACAGTATAAAAATGACAATAAAGGTTATCTTATCTTATCTTTAGATGATCAACCCTAATTTCTGATTTTTCTTGCCCAGATTGATTGGCATTGCAGTTTAACACATCTGAGCATTGTAGCATCCTTGCTACTGCAATATATAAGTATTGTTTACTTGTATTATTCATTTAATAATAGCGGAAACAATTTTTAACTTTCTCATTTCAATCATTTAAAAAGGGTTTCTAGAATAAGGATTGATACAAATAATCAGCAATTCTGTTTGTTTCTTAGGATGTGAATCTTTTGCTGTATGTTTGTTCCACATCTGGAGATACTCTAGTTACATTTTTTTTTTAAAAAAATGAAAACCAGACAGGCCGATTCCCTTCCTACGGATCTGTTCAAGAGATGTTTTCAGTAATGTTCATAAACCAGTTATTAGCCATACATGAGGAAGTCCATCTAAAGATATAACCATCCTGGCTGAGCTTCATATTACAGGACACAGTCTGATTCTTCAGATAGAAATTGTGAAAACATTTACCCAGGAAAAAAGTAATTAAAATAAGAGGAAAATACTTTTAAAAGACATTTAAAGTATTGTATTACATTTTATAATGCTGGCATCTTAGGGTATTTCAGTAATTCAGAATGAAGGCGACAGCTTCTCTTAAACTCAAGGTGCTTCTCTTACGATGAACAACTTATAGGAGAGTTGTTTAGGTTATTTCCATGTTGAATCTGATCCGATTTATTGAATAAAATACTATGTCTGAGTTTTTACAACATACAAAGCCAAACCAAAAAAAACCTAGTATGGATTAGTATGTTGTGCGAATCAAGTTTATGTGGGTAAAAAAGTAAGGATCAATTACATGCCTGGTCAGGGCCCTAAAAACCTATCTCTTAGGTAAGCTGCACTGGCTTATGATATATAGAGAAGTTCTGCAGTAGTTGTACGAAGGTTCCCCAAAGATGAATCAATGAAGCCAAAACATGTGAACACCTCTGATTTTTGAACCTGGCTTTTAAGAGCGAAAATCCAACATTTGTGTCCAACATTGCCCTTCTCTAATTCTTTTCAGGTTCTCGAGACAACAGACATTTACTCTGCTATGATTTTAGGCTTCCCAACATCTGTTGATCTTCAGCAACTAAAATAAAAGAATGCTTACTTAGCTATAGCAGATCAAACTGCATAACTGGATTACCATAATAGGTTAAGCCCAAATCAAACAAACCACATTACAGCTTCCTGTGATTTGTGGATCCAGGCTGCAGGTCAGTTGTACAGAATATTACTGCAACTGCTGACTGTTGGGGCTTCCCTGAAAATTCCTCCTACACTCTGCGATTGTACTTTGAAAGCAAACTTTCCATGATTCCAACAGGAGGTATTTATCAAACCTGATTGCAGTAGCTCCTACGTGTTTTGTACATGAGGGTGTCTGGGGAAGGAGATATGTATGCATGGAGAGCATTTGGCTTTGGCTCCATCCTTTCAGGCTTTGCCCTGCACTTCTAGGGAATATGAACAGTGTTTTTAGAACATCCCTGCAAAAAAGGTTTCCATGCCCATATAAGACACTTGGAGTTGGTATTTGTGTTTCCCACTTTGCTATGGCATACATACAGTGGAAATTGGCTTGCATTTTCAATTTGCTTTCTTTAACTAGACGATGGAGTATCCTAAATCTCTGTTCTCCAAGGAAATGGTTTTGAAGTTAATTGCTTTACTGTCTGGAAAACATTGCTTGGTCTGAGAGAAAGAATATTAGAACATGAGCCAAAGGATTTTTTTTTAACAGCATGAGATACCTTTGTCACTGAGAAACAAACATATTATGCCTGTTACTTCTATAAAAAATTATTAAGAATACCATGATAGTAAGACTTAGAGAAAAACTCATTTCTTACAAAAACTTGTGAGAAATTTCTTATTTCTGTAGATTTATGGATACAGATTTCCTGTTTTCCTGTCTCAGTAAAAAAAAAAATCCAACAGAAATTTGAGTTTTTTAAAAAAAATTCTACTAACCTTAATATTTCTCCAAGTTTAGCAGAATAAATTGCGCTCTGCTTTGCTTTATTAATCCCTGGACTTTTTCTGCACAGCAACTGGAATCCAGAAAATCATCTGTGCTTTAGAAATGGGAAAAAATGGTAGCATTTTTGTAACATTATCCATGACAAAAAAAAATTGCCTCAGTCTCTGCACAAATATATAAAACTTTGCTCAGATTTGACCAAATATACATGGAGCCTCTTTAATATGTACACACTCTGAATAATTATTGTATCAGAAATATTTGGGAAGAATGTAATGGCTATCGTTTTGGTCTGAAAAATGAACCAGTATTAGCACTCTGAAAATAGAACTTTCCCTATAAAATTGTTTATTAATGATACAAAAAGGTATGTAAACAGAACTCTCTGGTCTAAAAGCTGAGACTATAGCCTGTGATCATCTTTTTCTTCTTTTGAGATATTTCTGAATGATAAAGTTCTGCATGAATGTGAAGTGAATTGTGAAGCATCTGAAAGGCACTCAGGATAAAGGAAACAGGGATGTGAGGTGGGAAAGAAAAACTCTGAAATAGGGATAGAGATAAATCTCAAAGCACTGAGAGTTATATATTTTAAAACATTTTCTTAGTATGCAGTATCTCTAAAATAATTCTCGAACCTAACACAGGGGTCTTCAAACTTGGCTCTTTTATGACTTGTGGACTTCAACTCCCAGAATTCTTTAGCCAGCATGCCTGGCTGAGGAATTCTGGGAGTTGAAGTCCACAAGTCATAAAAGGCCAAGTTTGAAGACCCCTGTCCTAACAGGTCAATTTTCATTGTCTTATCAGACTGGGAATAATATGATGAATGTATTGATTCTAGTATTATTCTATGCTACTAATAACAATTTACTGCATTCTTGAATCTATGAGAAATAGGGTTTAAGTACTTAGCAAAAAATGTCAAGTGAATATGCTTTCACGGTTAACATTTTTTTTCTCTTGTTAAATCTAACAAGTGACCAACATTATATTGTTTTGAATAAGGTATTTTTTTCCTGAATAATCACTGAGGACACACCTATTTCCCTCCAACTTAATGTTGCTTTGTCTAATAATTTTCTGTCAGTGCCATGACAGGACACACATAGTCTCTTGAGCATCAACTGAGGCTTGTTTCTAAAATGCTAAACCAAGGAAGGGTACTATAGAATTAGGTGACTGCCATTAATCACACAAATGTGATTGTGGACTTTATGAATATTCCTTTCATTGTGCCACAGGCTCTCCAGGTCTTAAATAGTAAAAGACAGGACAGAATGTGCAAAGAATGGGTCACGTTCTACATCAGGCATGTCAAACTCACGAGTCACGTGACGTTGCGTGACGTATCGCGACTTTTCCCCCATTGCCGGCAATGAGGTGGGCGCGGTTTCAGTATGAAGCATCCGGCCCGTAGGCTGGCAATTTGACATGCCTGTTCTACATAGAGGGGGAATGGGAAGACTAGTCAATGACCACATTTTGTTGTAAGCAGGTGAATATGGCCTGATTACATTTTGTAGGTGGGTTGGGATTTCGGAGGAAGTTGGAGGGAGATATTTTTATTTTTTGTGATGGGCCTGTTTTAGGGTTTATAGTAGTCTGAGCTTGGTTGTTTTCTTGCAGACATTTCATTACCCAAACTAGGTAATATGAGCAGTTGCTGATGTTACCTAGTTTCGGTAATGAAAATGTCTGCAAGAAAACAACCAAGCTCAGAGAGCACCAAAAAACCCTCATTTCAACCCTGAGCTACAAATACTCTCCTTTATTGGTTACAGTAGTCTTTATCTGTTTCCAGCCCAAATATAGTAGGAAATTATGATGTCATTTTTCAGCAATCATGGTCAATCAGAGTTTGGGGAGAGGAACAAAGGGGAATTGGGAGGTCAAAAGTGGCCTCCTCTAATATATATGTTTTGAGATAATGGATTGTTATAAGGATACTGAGTAGCTTAAATATATGCTTCTTTTAAATAACAGGATATGCTATGACAATCTGAAGGAAGGTGTCCTACAACCATTTTTCTATTAGAGAAAAACTCAGTAGAATTCCTGAGAGGCACCAGAGAGCAGAGAAAGTAGGGAACTCATTCAACACTGAGAATCACAATTAAAATACATGTGTGCTTAATTTCTCACAGTTGCATAATTACAATGACTAGAAAGCCAGAGGTGCTAAAAGTATTGCACTTTGGGTGGTAACTTTTTTTTTTTTTGCAATATTTGTGGCACAAACATGTAAAACCAAACACAGTCTTAAAAGAGGGTAGGTTTTTATCATTCCAATTTAGCTAAAGATAGCCATAAGGTTCCAAAGAGAACAAAGAGATTTCTCATAACTATCTTTTTCAACTGGTTTTCAAGGTGTTAATCTTTCTCTGAATTAGAACCATGATGTTTGACATCACCAACAACAAATTTAGACTTGGTACTTGCCTTCTGATTTCTGAGCTCTACATACATATCACTTTCTCAGTAACCCGAAAGTCCAGAGAGTGATGATTTTATGCAGTTTTCAGAAATTGAAGAGTTGAGCAAGACTGCTAAAAGATATCATATAGGGACCAACCTAGATGGCCAAAGTCTATGTTGCTACTGCTGGCACAAGAAAGGTACAGTTGCATATGTGGACAAACTGTGCACACGTACATACAAACAATTTTAATCTTTTGTTTCAGCAACAGGTATGACTCTCACTTCAAAAAAAAGCAGGGTTAGTATGCTCTATAATGCAGCGCTTACAATGGCGCTTAACAAATCGCAAAGCTTCCACTGAAATCTCACAGTCCTGAACGTTCAGCATTTGCAGGTCAAAGCAATTGGCTGCTACAATCTGCAGGCCTTGTCCAGTGACACTTTCGCATGACTTCAGGCTCAGTCGCTTCAAGTTGAAGCAGTTCAGGGCCAGAAACTCCAAGCCAATGTCAGAGACCAGAGGGCATTTCCCAATGTCCAGTGACTTTAGTTTTGTGCAATTTTTGGCCAGGTACTCTATTCCATGGTCTGTGATGCCTTCACAGCCTCGCGCATTGAGGTAACGTAGCTTGCTGCAGTATTTAGTGATGTATCGGATACCGACGTCAGTGATGCGGACACAGTGGGCAATGCTGAGATACCGTAGGCGGAACTCCAGCTTTGCAATCTCGCGCATGCCAAAGTCACTGACAAAGCGGCAGTCGCTCACACTCAACTCCCTGATGGAAGGGCAGTAAATCATCAGGTAACGGAGGCCTTCATCGGTAATGCGGATGCAGCGGCGCAAATAGAGATGTGTCAACTGAGTGCAGTGGGTGGCAATAGTGTGCAGTCCTTCATCCTCAAGGACAAAACAGTCACTCATGTCCAAGTAGCGAATAGAAATCTGTTTGCCGTGTAAAGGAGATAATTTGATGGAAACTTCACGGGATAAACTGATGCACGTCACTTTGGAACAACCTATATTTGAAAGGGGGAAAAATTGTTAACAAAGATGGTCCACTTCCCCTTTATATAAATGATCTTAGTGGTATGGGATTTTCATCCCAGGACTCACTCAGTCTGTCAGCAACATTCGGCCTAAATTCAGTAGTTAAAATAGTGAAGGCTAAGCAACATTTCCCAGATTGTATTTTTTTTTAAGTTTAAAGGTTTCTGAAAAACTTACCAGTTTTCAATCAAATCTAATGTGCCTCAGTCTATATACTACTAAAATACTTGTTCCAGTAAGATTTAAGTAATCTTAAGTGAAACAGTGCATCATAAGGCAACAAATTTTGAATCAAGGTACCTCAAATGAGCTAACTTACAGAATGCCTCCAAAATCTGAGACCCACTATTCCCATGGAACTAAAATTTGACAAATTTTATAAAAGGAATTATGACATAAACATCATAAAACAGAAATGTCATAAAATATTTCCTGTGCTGATGTTTAACTTGTGCTACCCAGTTCAACATGGTTTATTTTCAAGGCAAATACATATCTGAATAGAGCCCAATTTTTCCAGTAAAGGCACCACATTAGAAGTTCTATCATAGCTGAAGAAACTGAGGAATCTGGTAAAGAAATATATCTGGAAGGATGACCCAATGAGTCACAGATTGTCTACTTTAAAAATAAAAGCATGTAATATTTCCTTTGTTAAACTATGGGCAATATTCAGGAAATATATCTAGTTGATGTCTATTAATTTTAGGTAATAGCATGCCAGAATTTCTGGTTGTTCAGAACTTTCTTCATGCTTTATTATGGGAACTGATGCATAGTATTAGTTCGGATAGCAAAATTCACTTCTGTCCTGTACTATTATTTAGAGAAGAAATTAGTCTCTAAAAATACAGATTTTATCATAATTCATTATCTTGGGCTATGAGAATGAGAAAAGGAAGGTGCAGATGACAGAAAGGGCCAATAATAAAACTGACTTTTGCTATCATCTGGAAAGAGAAGGGGATAGAAAGGAAAAATAATCTTTTTTTCAGTCACTGGAGACAATATCTTGACTCTGACAGTGGGTTTGGTCAAAATACCTCCAACTTGTTTGGTTCTCAAAGAAAATCACCACTTCAATCCATCCCCCCTGCTTCTTTCCCACATTTCCCTCTTATGAACCTCAAAAAAAGAAATAATGTGGGGTAGGAAAGAAATTAGGAGTGAAACAATAAAACACACGTGGTGATGATGATGATAATCATTACTATCTGATGGAGTTTTCTCTTTTTTATGTTCTTTATTTAGTCAGACAGACACATTCATCTTTTCAATCTTCTCAGTTTTCTCTCTCTCTTTTTTTTTCTTCCTCCTCCTAGTTCCCCAATTTTGTTTCTCTTTAATTCTCCATGAAAATATTTATATTTGCCTCCTAATCTTTCTCTTTTTCTCTTTCTGGAATTAATAGAAGATGGCAATGGTTGACTATAGTAATGCCAAGTTTGGCTTCCCAGTCTGTGTGTTCTGCAAGCTGTTAGTTACGTCCTGAAGCAATGTCAGACGGTGAAATCATGCTTGCCCGATGGATAATCAATTTAAATCAGAGGTCCCCAACCTTTTGGGCACCAGGGACCAGTTAAGTGGAGAGAGGTTTTTCCGTGGACTGCAGGGGGCGTGGTTTTGTGTGCTACCTGCATCCTACAAATGAGGCTTTGCTTGTTTGTGTGGACCAGTTGCTGGCATGCTGCGGCCCAGTACCAGTCCATGGACCAGGGGTTGGGGACCCCTGATTTAAATAGTGTCCATCCCAACTCCTTTTACAGATTCTATAGTTTAGGATATTTGCCTACTCTATGTCTGGAAGCATTTTATCTACCCCAAATAATAATAATAATAAAACATACAGGCTCTTGGCAATAGTCTTTCCACAGAGAAAATGTAAAAGGTTTTAAATAAAATGAGAAAGTTTCAGGAAACTTTGAAACTCTGAATGAACTTTGGCCAGTTATGAGATAATGGATTGCAGTCTAGTTCATCTACATAGGCAGTCTCCTTAAAACTGAAAGAGACCTTTAAAAAAATGTGGAAAATCTGATATCCAACTTTTCTGTGGTTTTGACATAATGACATAATTTCTAGGATGCATTATTCCTAAAATCCCACAATGAGTTTACAAAGTAAACTAGGTCTTGCGTGAGGCCTGCAAAATATTCTAACAGATAAGTTGTCATGTTGATACTAATAAAATCCCATTTTATACAGGCATCTATTTTACGCCAAACATTTGGAGAGGTAAAGCCTATTAAAATCAAGGACGTGTTCCAAACCAGGTGTACAGGATTAATTCCTTATAGACACACACACACACACACACACACACAAATATGTAAGGGCAAACTATATCTAACACAATATTTCTATAATGATTATACTATAGCTATACACTCCAAAAATTCTGCATTCTTCTATTCCCACTTATCTTTCTTTCTTTTTTACATTCTCTTGTATATTTTCACTGAAAAGTTATGTACTATGTGTGCCATGTTCAGGTCTGTTTATTTAGCAGAATTTTTGTTCTAGTGGCTGAATGAAAGAATACATGTGAGGCACAGAGATCCTTTGCTTCCTGAGAAATATCATTTTGCATGAAGAGTAAGAACCATACATTTGAAATTTAAAATGGCAAGTATGCCAGAAGGGTGGCAGCTAGCAAAAACTCTGTTGTTATGATCTTTTGAATCAATATTGACTCTTGGTGTCTATGTGGATGGATCTATGCAGTTTTCTTGGCAGGATTTTTGAAAGTACATTGTCAATACCTTTTTAAAGGATGTTTCTCAACTTCCCAAGGTAGGACTGGGACAAATGATTGCTTAGAGTCACCCACATGACATCAGTGCCTAAGGACAGACTAAAACTCAAGTCTCCCTGCTCCTAGTCTAGCATCTTTAACTGCTGCACAAAATTGGTTCTTTGTAGAAAACTCTATCTATATTTCATATTTTACAGATCAGCTATCTGTTGGAAGAAAAATGGTACCATGAATATATTCCCAAGTCAGTTACATACAGACATACACATGTCATTTCCCCAATTTTAGAAAACATTGGTGTCCGTGGATAAAAATTTATGTGCCCCATACCTGCTCATGGAAAGATTTTATAGATGTGTAGAACACTGACATCCCCTAAACTCTGCTGAAGATGTTACCTAGCCTGGTAACAAAATGTTCAGAAACCAACCCACAAGCTCAGAGAACAAACTTTCACACTCATCCTACACCCGAGCTACAGATATTCGCCACTATTACAAGATTTTATCTGTTGTGTGTAAATTTTGTAACCCATTTACCAGATAGAGTTTTCTGCTAGCTTTATGTAGTCTTTGTTCCTAGTAATTCCTATGCTACTTTACCTATATTCTTTCTAAACCAATTCAATGAGATTCTGAATCAAAGTTCTTGCAGGCAGTGAGATGAATTTATTTCTTTCCCCTTCCAAAACCAACAACTCCTAATGAAAAATATTCTTACTTCCTACTTGTTTTTCTGTAAGGCCTTTTTTTAAAAAAATCTATGAAACAGTCTGAAGGAACTGCTGGTTTGGGGATCAATAGTAAATGAATGGTGCTTTACATTAGGATACAGTGCTGAATTTTCTCATAATATGGCACTTAATTAGGCTCAGGAAGCTGTAAGTGTACCGAATACAGAATTGATCTACTGGCAAGTGACTGAAAGTAGTTTGCTGAAATGCATTGAAATAATCTGGGGTAGGTGAAGGGGGGAGGGAGAGGAGAGAGGTTGAGGGAAAGAATGTGTGCCCATGTGTGCATATCACATCACATCACATCACACCATCTGTCTGTCTGTCTGTCTGTCTGTCTGTCTGTCTGTCTATCTATCTATCTATCTATCTATCTATCTATCTATCTATCTATCTATCTATCTATCTATCTATCTATCTATCTATCTATCCATCCATCCACATATATACACACCCTTGCTGGTTTGGGCATTTTTCTCAGCAGAGGGCAGTATTGCTTGCCCAATAACATCACACTGAGAAAATCTGAAAGTGAATTGTGCAAGGGGGATTTTGGCTGCTAACATAGCAAAGAGCTTTGTGGCGGAAAAAAACACTATCACTTTTACAGAGGTCAGATGATGTTTTTGGTACAGCATAGAGATCTGAGAATCAAAGCTTACTGTTACTGACTTGTCTTTCTTTTATTTTCTACTTTCTTCGATTTGCAAGTCAAAAGTGGCATACCCTAAAAACTAATTGTAGCTGATGTTGCCTTCCACTTCCTCCAACCCAGAAAATTAATCTATGATCAGAGTTGATGATTCTCTTTATATGCAGACTAAATGGATAAAATTGGATATTCCTGTTGAAGTGAGCCCTGGTCACAAAAGAGTTTCCATAGGGACAGTAGTAACTTTTTATTGGTTTATCCTGTCTTTCCTGCAAGATCTCCCAGAAACATATAGGGCAGGGGTGTCAAACTCGTAATATCACGTGATGTGTCACAATGTATCGTGATTTTTTTTCCCCATTGCCTGCAATGGGGTGGGCAGTTTGACATCCCTGATATAGGGCATTCCCTCCTTCATTGTTCACCAACATATCTGAAGGCTCAGCTGGGTTGAGAACAAAATATCTGATCCTACATTGTCCTGTGAATTTCTATAGGTAGACTTGGGTCTCTTTGCTCACAGTTCAGCATCTTAATCACAACATAACACTGTTTTCTTTTGTAAAGTGTTGTGGCATCTAAACACTAACAGATTGGTACTCTGCACACATAATGGAAAGGGCTGAGATCCACAAATGCTTATGCAATAATATGTGACTGTTTAAAGAGTTGCAGGGACCTTTGTTGTTCTGACACGCTAAACCTGGCACTCTTTAAAGACTCATGCTCAATTACAAACACTTTGAAGTATTTACCAGTACAGAATACAATTTTAAATGCAAGATTAAAATTGAGATTTAAATGCAAGATTATTTGGAGAAATATTATTTTTTTTAAAAAAAAAAGCAGAAAGAGAGAAAGGAGAACAGAGAGATATTCCAAAAATGTTAGTAACAGAGTGAAAAAGTTACTATCGAGATTGTAATCAAAAATGTTGACAATATTTTCTCCATTAAATTTGACATGCTTTATCCAAAACGCTCCAGCCAGAGTGTAAATGTAGACTTTTTCCATTACCTGATACATCTAAATGTTCCAAGTTTGGGCACAAGGACACTACATCAAAAACCGCCTCATTGGAAATGTTGTAGCAACTGGATACTTCCAATTGCCTCAGTTCTGGGCAGCATTGAGCAATGGTATAAAGTCCTCTGTCTGTGAGCCGCCTGCAGCCACTAACAATTACCGTCTCCAGCATGAGACAGACGTTTGGGGTGTCCTGGCAAAGTCGTCGTGTCAGCACCTTCAGAGCCCTGTCCACGTTGATTGTCTCACCTATCAGGCGAATAGTTCGCCAAAGTCGCGGGTCCCAAGCAAGGTTATACCAGCGACGGCACACGCGGGCACACCGGCACAACTGATTGGTGGGCAAAAAGGAAAATATCTGGATCACCGAAAGGTCAGGAAGCCGGTTGATATTGGCTTGTTCTTTCCGAAGCCAAGAGGCAGCATGAATAAGAGAGTGGGTCAGGCAGGGGGAAGGAGGTGAGTGAACCATCGCAATGGTCTCCCCGGTGACCGAAGAGGAAGATGTAGAAGACTCTTTTCCATTCTGCAAGCTGTGTGAATTTGGTGGACATATTAGCGCAGGACTGGGAGTGCTCAGAGTGCGCATGCTCAGGTCGGAATCTGAAAGACACCAAAGGACACGATGATGAGAATTTCATAAGTTGGGAGCCACATTCTGCATCGACATGAAATGCTCCCAAGGATGTTTATGCTTAAGAAGGCTACATACATAAAAACAGATTCTGTCTGCCTTTATTATCAGTAGTTGCCAAGCTCAGACTAGAGCCTGATGGATTTTTAAACAAACTAAAAGATATATCACCGACTTTTTTTTTAATCAATTCGCTTCCTACAATTATTTTGCAAAACAATGTGAAAATATTTGTTAAGTTTAGAACTGAGAAACACAGCAGGGCTTTGCTGAGTACTTAGCATGAGTGATTTCCTGGAACAGTATTGTCAGGTACCCTGCAACACCCAAATCAGAGTTCTTCATCCAAATATCCTCCACATGTGTCTCCGCTACAATGGCCAGAATTTTTGTAAGACAAATATAGTTGGAGATTCTGGGACCTGAACTTCCAGCTTATCTGAGGGTACTAGTTAGTAAACCTCATTTTGTCATGGAGCTTATTTAAATCTGTAAGAATAGACTTATTTCCAATCATGGTATTACTTCTGAACCAAGAGGTGCATACTACTATGGAAACATGAAACTAGAATTGAGATCCTAGAATAAATATATAACTTTTATTATTATATATTATATATTTATAAAATAATTTTTATTTTAAAATCTAATGAATGTGGAATCAAAAAGGGTATCTTCTAGCAATTAAATAATAATACTGAATATTTTTTGAAGCAGCAATTACTCTTTCCCCAGTAGTCTACCCAAATCAGAAAGTTAAAGCTCTTAAAAAATTCATATAATTATTTTATACTCAGCTTTATACAACTATTATTTTAATTAACATGATACAAGGTGAACATATGAAATGTCCCGATACTAAGTCTCATCATTGGTCCATTTATCTCAATTTTGCCTAGCATGAGTAGCAACAGCTGTCCTGGGTTTCTAGAAAAAGTAATCAGAGACACTTGAACTGAAGTTTGGATGCCTACATAGATAAAGCCAAAGAACAGCAAAATGGTTAAAAAAAAGCAACCAGCTTTTTGATATAGTATGCCTGGTTTTATAAATACAATTTGTAGTAGAAATAAACTCAAGAGATTGTTCAGGATTGGCACATCTTCACATTTTATTTGTTCAGTTATTTACATTTTTTTCATTTATTTACATTGTAGTTTATTTAGATCAAAGTATAAATATAGAACATTAATGGCAAAGTGTGGATTAAAATGTTAAGAAAGAAGAACATAGCAAGTACCTTCTCGTATGGGACCGTAGTATTACAAAGCTTGATCACATTTATTTCCTTACCACCATTGTGATGAAGCAACATGTTGCCACCTTTCTGAAGATATCTGAAGCTAGTAAAAAGGATGCATTGGCTAGTAATTTATTAACTAATAAAAAGAATGTACCCTCTTTCATGGTGCAATTTCATGCTGGAGCAATTAACAATATTAATTCAGAGCACCATGTATAGTGGACAACTTCACAGAACACGAGATGTTGATTCAGCAACGTTCAAGGACAGTTTTGGTACTCTCATGCTCAGTGAGGGTGAGAGACAGGAAAAATATTTAGTGATAGATAAAGCCTCATCCCAAAGATCAAGGGTATGTTTGCATGTTATTGTTGCCATTGTTAGCATTCCCCGTGGACATTTTTTTTAAAAAAAACCTTTTTAAAGTAATTAAAGTATAAAATTCTTTCTTCAATCTCTTAATTGTTGTTGTTAGTTGCAAAGTTGTGTCTGATCCATGGACAACGTTCCTCCAGGCCTTTCTGTCCTCTACCATCTTCTGGAGTCCATTTAAGCTCACGCCTAATGCTTCAGTGACTCCGTCAAGCCACCTCATTCTCTGTCGTCCCCTTCTTCTATTGCCCTCAATCTTTCCCAGCATTAGGCTCTTCTCCAGTGAGTCCTTCCTTCTCATTAGGTGGCCAAAGTACTTGAGTTTCAACTTCAGGATCTGGCCTTCTAAAGAGCAGTCAGGGTTGATCTCTTCTAGGACTGACCGGTTTGATCGCCTTGCAGTCCAGGGGACTCACAGGAGTCTTCTCCAGCACCATAGTTCAAAGGCCTCAATTCTTTGGCACTCAGCCTTTCTTATGGTCCAGCTTTCACAGCCATACATTGCAACTGGGAAAACCATGGCCTTGACTATACGCACTTTTGTTGGCAGGGTGATGTCTCTGCTTTTTAGTATGCTGTCTAGATTTGCCATAGCTTTCCTCCCCAGGAGCAAGCATCTTTTAATTTCTTGGCTGCAGTTCCCATCTGTGGTGATCTTGGAGCCCAGGAAGATAAAATCTGTCACTACCTCCATTTCTTCCCCATCTATTTGCCAGGAATTGAGAGGGAGGGATGCCATGATCTTGGTTTTCTTAATGTTGAGTTTCAAGTCAACGTTTCCACTCTCCTTCTTCACCCGCATCAAGAGGCTCTTTAGTTCCTCTTCACTTTCTGCCATTAGAGTAGTATCATCTGCATATCTTAGGTTGTTGATATTTCTCCCGGCAATCTTAATTCCAACTTTTGATTCATCTAGCCCTGCCTTTCTCATGATGTTAAATAGGCAGGGTGACAGAATACAGCCTTGTTAGACTCCTTTCCCAATTTTGAACCAATCAGTGGTTCCATGTCCAGTTCTCACTGTTGCTTCTTGACCCGCATATAGGTTTCTCAAGAGACAAATAAGATGGTCTGGTACTTCCATCTCTTTAAAAACGTGCCACAATTTGTTGTGATCCACACAATCAAAGGCTTTAGCATAGTCAATGAAGCAGAAGTAGATGTTTTTCTGGAACTCTCTAGCTTTCTCCATGATCCAGCGTATGTTGGCAATTTGATCTCTAGTTCCTCTGCCTCTTCGAAATCCTGCCTGTACTTCTGCAAGTTCTCGATCCACATACTGCTGGAGTCTAGGATTTTAAGCATAACTTTACTTGCATGTGAAATGAGTGCAATGGTGCAATAGTTTGAACAATCTCTTAATTATACCTTAGCAAAGAAACAGACACTATAGCTTTAGTAGAACTCAAAATTCCACAGGGTATTCAGGCAGAAGTTTAACACATCTCTGGAGAAGGATGTTTTTTTCCCCTATTGTGGGGAATATTGTTTTCCCAGGATGTGTAGATTCTTCCTCATTGATTTGCAGTCCCTTTAGAATGAACGTGGCATCTGCCATCAAAGACAACAACAAACTGGTTGTTAGCATAGACAACACCTCTTACTCAAGGTGGGCAACATACACTTCCTATGATTCTAGCAGGCTGAGTTTCCTCTCCTTTACTGAGTTGGAATCTTAATTTGGTGACCATTGTGAAGCAAATGTGTGTAATAGGCTTGAAAACAACAAAAATATATTTGGGGGGGGGAATCTAAAAACCTATTGTTTTTTTTAAAGTATTTTTTTTATGGAGTAGAAGTTCAACATTTCAGGGATCCAAAGTATCTGGAATTTTCTTAAAATTCACAACACCTTCAATAAAAAAGATGAACAATAACAAGATAGCTTAGCACTACAACTGTTTCTGCAACCTAGGAAATCATGGGGTAATTTTGGTTTTCTTCTTATTGCATTCTCTTTTTATAAAGATAACAAAGATAAGGATTAATAGATTTGGCCAATTTTCTACATAACACTTTAATGGCAGTCAAGACAGTGTGGAAAGGGTCTTGTTAACCCGAAAACCTCAACTATAGTTTTTAACCAGAATGCAAGGAAGGTTTTTGGCCATATTTAAGAAATGAAACTGCATATACCATATAAGGAAAATAATTTGGTGAGTTGCTTGAAACTAAAAAACAAAGGGGGGGGAGGTGAAGGCTAACTACTGTATGTAAAAGCAATTCTATGGATTCATTTGAAATTTCCAAACAAAAAACAGTCATTAGAGTTGTCAACAGTATGATGCATTTGCTAACAAAGCTCCAAAACAGGCACACAAAATTCAATGATCTAATATAATGTAATATAATGTCACTAAGCCTCCACAAAACATAAATATGTTTGACAAAAAATAATCTCAGGCTCTGCTCCTTCATCTTGAATAGGAGCTTCTGACATGTCATATATTGATGTGGTTCTTCCTACGAACGTTGTACAACCTTCCTTGTGTGAGCACAGATGATCCACAAGAGTTATTTCCTCATTTATTTTCACTTCTGCTGAAATCCCTTTTATCTACTGCTTCAGCTCTAGCATCCACTTCCTATTGGAAAGTGAATAAAATGATCATTTCATTTTAAGGATATGTGTAAACACTGAACACTTAAGAACAGCTATATAAACATTGGGCATTAGACAACCTGAATTGTGCAGGGGATGGAATGATCTGCAAAAAGCCCTTCAGTGAATCTTTAATGATGTCCATTAAGTTATAAAAAAAAAGTCAATTTCATGGCTGAAGAAAGGAAATGATGATGAAAATGAAAAAAAACAAAAAACCCCAATTGGTATAAAGTTAAAGTGCATCCAAACCAGATAAAATCCTGGCCAGCACAACTGTTAAACATAAAACTTCACTCATTTTGTTTAGTAGAAAAGGCCGGTGAAAAGGAAGAGGCTGAGAACAGACTTGCCTCCTCCATTTGCATGAATGAAGAAAGTATTTATTTTCCTGAGCTATGCTACCTTTAAGCCTCCAATATTAAACCACTGCACAACTCTGACCCACACATACCTAGCAACAGTTGCATCAAAAGCACGATCTTTAATGACGGTATGGAGTCAGTAAAGCATAGCAGGAGGGCAACTAGAGATGGCTATGCACGCATTACACTTTATTTTTCCACTGAACAATATAATTTTTTTTCAAATGGACACTTGATTGCAACATGTTTAACAATCCAGGAAAGGTTATTTATATTATGGTGACTGAAGAAACTCAAAATTGAAAAAAACCAGACTATTACTGAACCCCTCTATGATTATCAATCCTCTAGTGCAGGATGATTGTAATTATAGCTTCCTTCCAATTC